TTACATACACAGCTTCGGTATTATTGCGAATTGATACATATTATAAAATTATTATTCCTAACTTCCATCATTTATATCTCAAACATTAGCAAGTCCTCTAAGACTTCTGCATTAAAGCCACATTTTCGAAAACAGTTTTAATAGAATTTAAAAGATTAACTCCTACACTGTACTTTGACTTTCGAAGTGCATTTTAAGAAAATTTAATTCTGTTCATCATTTTCTCAACATCTTTTCCGTAGTTCTATTCGGAAAACTTTATAAACTTTATAATTTTTTAAAATACCCTAGTCTAAATGCTGAATGTTAGAAATTGCATTTACAATAAGAGACACTAATGTTTTTTTAGAAAGATAAAATAAAGGTCTGTGTGCTGTGAAATTATCTAATCAGTAAAATTATTTTTCCATTTCAAAGAAAATAAGTAAAAATACTAATTGTCACCAATAAGTTCTCGTTGCTGTCATAAGTTAGAGGGAATTTCTTAACTCCTTTCTGCTTTCGTCAGCAATCTGTGAAATCTTCTTAATTGTTGCAAGTTAATAACACAGAAACTTATTCTTTCTTATCTGGAGGAATAGTGAACCATATGAATAATGTAAGTTATCTTTGGGTTATCAATAACCATTTGTCCTTATATATAGGCTTGTCATATTAAGCACGTCAGAGAAAACGGCTGGGCTATTGCCAACCAACATTGTTTGCTTCTCGAAAACTATTCTGCACTATCTCTCAAAAAAAGAAGGGTATGTCTATCCGTTATAAGCACAATTCTATGTAACCCACTTCCAGTTTAGGCCACACTCTCAAATCCGCACTTCCTAAAACTTCAGTTATCACATAATGAAATTCTGTGAAGAATTGTAATTGATTACCTGACTAGAAACAAACTAATTCATGGATCATGATGACTTCAAATCCGACTCTATAGTGAACCACATTCAAAACATAACGATCTTTCCTTCCACCATGGACTACAGCTGTGAGGCTGCATATCTTTCAGAAGCCTTTTACTTCCAAATTAATCCAGAAAATAATTTGGTCAGACTATTTGCTATCCACAGCTTAGAGACTGAGGTTTTGCAACCGAACTTGAACTGCTGACTTTTACTTGCTTTCTTGCGTGGCAAGGCTTTTGTCATTCATGACTTTCCGTCTAATTCGTATAGTTGCAGTACAGGACAGAATGTTCTCTTCCTTCCTTTACCTAACTTTCTTGACAGTTCTTAGAACTCCAACTACTAGCTCGTCAAAATTAATAATTACAAAATTAATAAATACATTTACTAAGAGTATACAATACTAAAGTAAGGTTAAATTATTACTTTCATAGAGCAAAGAAATAAACTAAAAACATCGCTATAAAATCATTGCGCCAACGATTAATTGGATTAAAGTATTACTTAAATTGAATATGGAATTTAAAACATGATACCAATGGTTAAAAGAATTAAAACATTACTTATATTATAATACTTTAAAATAAGCTTTATAGGATATAATTATTTCCCATTAAAACATATGTGGCAATAAATATCTCAGCAATTTTTGAAAACAGTGTATTAACTTTTTAATAAAAATTGGAGTATACAGTTATAAAGATAAAAGAAAAGTACGTACTTACAGTTTTTTTAGTGTTTTACCTGTCGTATATTCATAAGCACGACAAACAAAATCGGAATTATAATTTAGATATCAATGAAAAAAATTTGTCGGTAGAAAAGGAGGAATGCCTATACATTTTTTACAGTTACAGCGGTTATTTCTTCCAACCGTGAAAACAATACCATATACGGCCGTCCTCAGAATTGGCTCTTTTAACGATCTTCATCTGTGATCCACATCTCTCGCACTTCATTGAAGAAGCAATTAGCGAGGTTTCCTCCAAAAATTTTTAATAACTTTCCTTTGACCCTTGTAACAATTTATAAATAAATCTTTGATTAGGAAAGCCAGTTTGGCCAAAATAAGGCCAACAACAATATTCATCTTCGAAACTGACATATCCATTCGCTTTGAAATCTGAGGAATTCGAAGAGACGATGATAAAGATTTAAAATGGCACGGTAATGCACAAATATTCAATCAGGGAGCTGATTACATCACTCCTAGAATTAAAATTATTTAAGTAATCATTCATAATAAAATCATTTAAAATTGAAAAATCAAATTGTATTTTAATATTTAACAGACATATTTAATGATTAAAACAGATTAAATTTATAGATATTAAAATCAATTACTTTAAAAGTAAGGTGACGTCATTGATTACATCATCCACAACATAAAATTATATCAAAATGAATAACACTTTATTTCAAATAAAAATGCAAAATTAAATTGATTTTCAATATTTAGAAGCCATAAATAATATTTAAAACACGTAATTTATGCATAATAAAACGCATTATTTTTAAAATAAAATGCCAACGAAGTATTGGTTACCATAAATAACTTGTCCAGCAATGGGTTTACCATAAGTCGTATCGCTCGCCAGGAAAAAAATCGTCAAAATCCGTGCAACCGTTTTATAGTATCCGTATTTATATATCCATGCAACCGTAACGTAAGTAGCACCGTGTTATCTTTTTGTTAATTATGTCCGCGTATTTTGTCCATTAAATTACTAAATTTCACTACCGTTGTTATCAACAACACTGCTCCTATAATTCGTAAATACATCTACATCTCTCATAAATAAATAACTAGCGGAACACTCATGTTACTCGCCTTGAACTGAAAGGAATAAACTTCGTAGGCAAAATTTATTAACACTCAAACATATTAAATACTCTTTAACAGCAAAATGCCTACAAAACGGTGCGGCTAAGAAAATTATTTCATGCCGAAAGAATAATCGTAAAAAATAATATTGTTGCCATTGACACAAATTCAATAGTAAAGCAAAAAATGTAGCAAGTAACAAAATTGTCGCATAATTATAATGATAACATAGCATTAGATATTGTGAAAATAAATAAGGCCAGAAAAAAAAAAAAATTCAAATATTAAATACATATCCAAAGCTATTTGGAGGATTACGTTGTGTACAATGGTGGTTTTTTTCTACATAAATTTAATCGGTTTATTATTTCGAATTATTAAATTGCTGTTTTTATTTCTATGGACGGATTCTTCTTCTTCATCAATGGCCAGACAGCCCAGGATGGGCCCTTGCCTTCCTCAGAATAGAATTCCAAGCTCTTCTATCCCTGGCCATGGACATCCAATTGGTTATTTTTAAAATTCTTAAGTTCTGTTTCCAAACAGTCGCAACTACCTAAGTTTAGGTCTCCCTCTTTTTCGGGTTCCGAATAGTCTGGCGGAGAAGATCTGTTTAGTAACTCGACTCTGGACGTTTTACTTAGAATTTATAATCGACAGGTGTTTAGAGAATTATCTTCAAATTTGTCATCTGATTCCGATTTTAGAACATACATTTAGTACTTTATTTCACCTTTTGATATTATGTACAGAGATAAAGTTGCATCTTGGTTCTAGTACATCGTTTCCTTTAAAAATAAATTAGCCTTTCAGAAAAACATGTGACTATGTTAATTATTGCTTAAAAAGTTGAACAAAAATTAGGACGGCGGTAACAAAAAAAAAGTTTTATTTTGAAAACGCGAACAGAATCTGAAATTAGTATGAAAATTTTGCTTAAAACGAAACGTTTATTTATCTGATATAAAGTTATTACTGTATCTAATGAGGATGCATGTTATAATAAAATACACTTTCAATTCTGTTACAGTAAACGGTGAACTAGGTTAATAATTAGTTAAATACTTCTTAGGATACAGCTTGCAGTGCACACATGCTGGTAAAAATAAACGCAAAGCTACAAAATATGCTAGAAATGCATTTATTAAAGTTCAAACATTCCATTATGGAATAATGACTAAGATAAAGAAAGCTAGATTTGTCAATGTTTCTAAGTATTTCTAGTTCTAGTTCCCATCTTTGAACTTTTAAAATTCCCAATATAAGAAATTGATTTTCAAAATCCTATATTGAAAATTTTTTGTTAGAATAGAAAACCACTTGCATCCGCTTTATTGGCTTGAGAAATATTTAAAATATCACTTTTTTGACCATTTGTTGGATATCTTGGTGTGGCCAATGTGCAAAATCTTTGATATGATATCGCCATTCAAGATTACTAACTTAATGTTTTTAATATATTTCCTATTCTCATCGCTTTCGTTTATGTATGGAATGCTGTGTAAGTACGTTTTTCAAAATGGAGCAGAGCTGCTTGCTACGATATTTAGGAAAGTGAAATAAACGATTCGTCTACTGCAAAGAATCTCCCCGGCAATGTTTTATACGAGATATTCATCTGTTACTAAAAGGGTATGGGTGTTCCTTTATAAAACTTCTTGGCCCCTATCAACCTCTGTTGAATGAGGAAAATCACTCACATTAATTTGATCAAAATGTGGATCTTCACTAGGAATGCAGAATGGGTTGAAATGTTGATATTGATTTATGAACCGCACGAAGAAATTTAACGACAGATTAAACAATGCACCAGAAGACGTGCGTACGGGTTCGTAATGGAATGAATGCACAAGTCGTTAAAAAGTTAATAAAATTTACTCTTATCCTAAGAAATAAAACAAGATGCTGAAATTTCCTCAGAGATATTCGTACAATATCAAAATATCTCACAGTAGTTATATTTTTAACTACTAAACGTTTAATAGAACTCAATTCAAAACAGAGAAAGCTAATCCGAACTCACACCGAATTCGCTACAATAAACCACAGGTTCTCTCTGTTGTTAGATGCATTACTCTCACTCTAACTTGACCTCATCGGATACTTCCGCTAGTTTGAAATAAATGTCTCTATATCTGTAAAGGTTTCACATTTGTGCTGCGCAGTTTTATTTAAATGTACGGTGTTTGTTTAATCAAATATTAGGTAATTTTCTACTGTAAAAAATATTTTTTATTCAATCCTTTCATAATGTTTTGAATACATATTTATTTCAGAATGTGATTGCGGACAGGGAGGAACATGTGTCCTTGGTCAATATGGGGATGAATGTATATGTAATGAAAATTTTAAAGTAAATAGTCAATCTGGGAAATGCGAGGGTGAGTTTGATATGAAATTTATTCCATGGAACTAATATTCCTCTCTGAAATTTTAAATCTTTCTAATAAGTTTATTAGTTATTTATTTTAATCTAGTTTATTAATGTCTTATATGTTGGGATATCTAGTAATTCATAAAAGCAACAACCTATGTTAGGTACATAGATTTTTAGCATAGAAGCTCTGAGTATGTATGCTAAAACGATTTACGCTTAACATAGGTTGTTGCTTCACGTTTATGATTTATTTAAGCCGTGTTTCATTTCTGTCTTGATATCCACGAAGTGTTTTAGCCTTTTAAATATTTTATAAAATAAGTAAAATGTTTTCTAATATTATAAGTAGTATCGTCTAAGCGGTGAAATTTCTGTACACTATTAATTGGATCCGGGATCCAAGTCCAAGGACGGGCTGAGTGCATGGCTGTCTTCGTGCTTTTCTGAATGTTTAACGTGTATACATCCGAGTCCTATTAGAAAGTTATCCTATTAGTCCTATTAATATTTTATTTCATCTTTTGATATTATATACAGAGGTAGTAAAAATTATATTTTAATACATATTTGTTGCCCACTAGTGGCCGTACTGTACAGTCGCTGAAAACTGGTAGTCGGTCTGAGTTTCGAAATTCGCGAACAGGTTGGCGTTTTCGTGGTTTTTCCTCATGTGCAACATGTTAATATGACCCAGTTTCCCTTAGAAAGTTATCCACGAAGGCATGTCTTCTTTCGTGTAGTGCTGTAGGACGGAACACGTAAACAATGTACATTTATGGGTTTAAAGAGCCTACTTTTCTTTAAACGGAATTAGGTTTTCATAGATAAGATATTTCTGTTTTAATTACTGCACACAATATTAAACAAAAATCATACATTACTTTGCCTAACCGGTAAAAAAAAAAAAATTGAGGAGGTGACGGATTGTGAATTATTAAAATTCGGCTTAAACGTAACTTTTAGATTTGTGTTATAAAATTTTGTGTATCTAATGAAGATATATACTAGAATAAAATATACTTTCACTCCTGTTACAGCAAAATGGTGAACGAGGAATAATTAGTAATGATACTTCTTGGGATACAGCTTGCTGTGCGCACATGCTAATAATGATGAACAAAAGCAGCAAAATGTGTAAGAGGTGCATGTTTCTAAGTTTACACATGAATTTTAGCTCTCATTTTACATATTCTGGGTGTCTACAATATTAGTCTCCAAACGTTTCTATATTGTTTTGTTCGGTTATTTCTAGATAGTCACTTATATAGTCCCCCCATCATGCAACATCATTTATTTTCTCGAAATTGGTCTAATTTAATTAACTGGTTCCTCAAGACAAGTTTAAAATGACATGAAAAATAGTTAATTTTGGGTTGAAATACTGTCAATTTTTGCCATACGGGAGTCTAATTTACTTTACTTTTGTTTTTTCATAACGAGTATGTAAAACTTTCCGAAATATTAGTTCAGGAAACAGGTTATCGTGCTAAAAATTAGATTTTGTTTTTTGTCGTCGAAAATTAACTGTTTACTTCCTTGTACGAAATAAAAGGAAGTTATTGTAATCGCAAAAAATTTCGCGTATCATATTTCAACGAAGATACCGATTTTATCGGCATCCATCCAATTTAATGATTGTTTTTGCGTGACATCCACACGTACCGTAAGGATAGAATAAAGGACTCTTTTCCCCCAAAATATTATAAACTGATTTAAAATGAATTCTGAAGAGAATTTTTTGTAGCGCCTGTGCGTACGTATGCATAACTCAAAAACGAGTAGCCTCAGAACGTTGATATTTTGTATGTAGGACTGGTATAACATGTAGATGTGCACCTCCTATTTTGGTTGCAATCGGCCACACCTATAGTATATAAATACATGTATATATATATCCACTCTGTTACTCGACTCAGCGAGCTCAGTTTCTTTATTCTTATACGATTGTTAATTCTGCGTTTTTTGCTTTAAAAATGATTGAATTATGTTGTTCTTATCTTCCGGTTAAAGATTTTATGCCTTTAGTAAATCTGCATGCAATATTTGTAGAGTTATCAATCATTTAAAAGTTGTTTAAGTGCAGCCTAGCCTAATGAATTTTGCGAAGGCGGACATGTTTCTTTACATTTTAAACTTGGCAAAATAGTGGCTTTCTTGCCAATCTAGAGAAACAAAGCTTCGCGACAACAAAGATAACGCCTTCTTTTATTATTGCGAATTAAATCATGCTTTATCCATTCTGTAATTTATTTGAGGAAATAAGTGTTTCAGATTTACTTCGTAATTTGTACTATAGATATTTTGAGTTTTTATGTATTTTTGCCTTGTCGGAAAGTGAGAACTGAATTAATCGAATAAAAAATACTGAATCGTCTGTAAAAAACTGTTTCTTTTTTGTTTTGTTCGGTTAATTTCTTTTATACATCGTTTTAGATTTATTATAGTACTTGAATAGAGCATGTGGTAACGATTAGATAATTCTTCAAATGATATAAATTTATATGCATTCTGAGTTATAATATGGACGAAATGTAACGGTGGTAAGTGAACCTAACGTCAGAGTGTCACTATGGTAAACAAATATAGTGAATTTTAAAGAGTGCATTTATTCCATTGCGGTTTATTCGCTATCGACGAAGTAGATTTAATCCAACATACTTTATTTTCTCACCTAAGTAATCTAAAAGTTTAATTTTTATCTTTAAATTCCCAACAGTAGATGTTTAGGCTAACCAAAATTTTTTCAGCCCTTGATCCTTTCATTATTTCACGTATTATGTTTAATTTTTAACCATTTGAATCTGTTCTGTAATTAAGAAAGTTCGCTATGTAAGGTTTATACTTAAGCCTTAGGAGAAATATTGCCACTTTCTAGAAACTCGACTTCACTTAAGATATTTTTTAGGATCGCCATTATTGTACCACACATAGCCAAACTGCCATCTCCGACACCTTAACTGCGGCTCGCGAGATCCTTTGCCATCTGAAATTCAACTTGTTTTGGACAAAACATAGTTTACGTTTTTATACAAATGGAATTTTAAAATAGAAATCATGCAATGCCACGTTTCTTTATTAATCGCTAATTTAATTTCTGATATAGAAAATTTGAATAGAAAATGTAAAATGAAAAATGATAGATGTGTAAAAATTTGATAGATTTCAAACTGTTCACATCTGGCTTATCATCAGAGTAATAAATACGTAAAAATAAAAATAATTACGTTTTCAGGTAATTAATATTCCGGTAATTCTACTTTTTGAATGGGTAATTGTCATCGGAATACGCAAATATAAGAACCTGTCATCGGGAATGCGCTAATGAAGAACCTGTTTCGCCTTGCAATCCGTACAGAGCTCTTAGAATTTGTGAAAGAATTTCACAAGGATTTTATTCTTGGTTGACTGAAACTTCTGTTCGGAACCCTTTCAAAATTATTTCCTTTCCTAAGGAAGTCAGGTATTTTATGCCATTGCTTCAGAGATTTCGCAACTATTCATAATAATGTGCTTAACGAACACGTTTCCTACATGAAACTTTCAGAATAATTCCTTGATAATCCTAGACAACAGTCATACTTTATAACCTATGGTTGGGCATGCTGAGATATTTGGAGTTATGAGAAGAAATCAGTGTTCTGAGAACGATTTAAATTTTAGTGAAAATGGCACCGTTTGTAATTACATGTTAAGTGTTTTCTAAAATTACGTATGATAAGAGATTTTTTCTGAAATCATCTAATTAAAAGGTTTGCTCCGATTAAATTTATGTATTTTCAGGAATTTAAAGAAATTGATAAATTTGATGAAAATTTCCTGAAACTAAGATATACACATCTTTCTTTAGAATGTGAATGCGGTGAAAAAGGAAAAAACTGCAGCTTTGACAGTTCCGGAAGTCAGAAATGTGAATGTGAGACTGGCTATAGTCAAAAAGCCAACAAATGTGAAAGTAAAATCTATTTTTCTTATGCTTAATATATTGTTCAAAATGTTCTTAATTACAATGATAACAAATGATCGAAAAATATGAGATTGTCTGTAGAATCATAAAAAGAAAAAATGAAAGGTTTACCTTGTATAGTTTGTAATGAAGTGTTAACTACTATTTAAAATTACTATTTTTAAGAGCAGAAAAAACAGTTGAAATCATTTATGAGGTTTACCTTGATCTAGTAAACTTAATTAGTTCAAAATGCTTAATAGGAAGCGAAGCGAATTACTTCTAGGTCTAAAAGTAACTGCAGAGTTAGATACAGATTTAGCTAAATCCTTTTAATATTCATACAGATGTTAGAACATATATGTAGGTTCTTGGGCTAAGAAAAGCAACCGCAACTCGTAGTACTGTAAGTAAACAGTAACAGTCAATTTCAAATTACATCTGGACTACTACACAAAAGCTATGGAATTTAAATATATAGGAAGTTTGGTGCAATCCTCTACCGGCGTAACAAATTCTATAATGTCCGCAGCGATAGCGTAAAGACGAATAATTCGAAATTATCAAATTTTCAAGAATTAACGTAGCGTGGAAGTGCAGGCCACAACCGCTTGGTGTCTTATAATCCACAAACCACGGTTTATGCACTATCTAACTAACTTGCCTTCAGGTGAGGAAAGGGAAAGTAGAAGTTACAGTAAATTATTAGAAGAAACCGGTTATTTAAAATAATAATAACTGTTCGTCTTTCTCTACCAGATTTTAAGAATCGCAACAATTTCCTATAGACATTGCAAAGATTTTTAAAGTTTAAATCAAGACATGACCCAAAGTTTACAAACATTGGTTTAAAATTCTAAAACAAAATTTGAATTTTTACAAAAGATCTAGTTTTCAAGTAGGCAATATCATGTAATAAATACTTTTTATTGACCCTTAACTTCTTCCAGGCATTTAAAAGTTCACACAGTATTATATAAGTATAAGTTATTAACTATTCTGCTTGTTTTATATTTATTTATGGAAAGGAAATGTATTTTAGCGAGCACATATTCAAATGACAATGCGCTTCAATTTGCCATTTCAATGTCATCAAAATCTTTTACACTATGCGCAAGTTCTTACTTGTGCTCTCCGATACTGCACTATATACAAGTACGTATGAACATGCACAAAAATTTCCGCAACTACCTCCTAATAGAAAACCTACTTATTAATCACCTCCATGCACTTAATGCTCATGCGCTAGGCTTAAAATTTATTAACACTTTCGTTTTTCCAAGATACGGTAAAATTTGACTACACTACTTCCTACACTACTTTTTGGGTCGAGGGTTGAATTACTATCATTTGCTACCTTGTACTTAAATTTATCGTAAACGCATCAGAATAGTTAACATTTAGAAAATAGTTCACAGAAAACTTGACGTTCACAAAACTTTTAACAAACATATTTCATGAAACATTTACGTCATTTACATTTAAAACCTGCATAGCTTCCACTTTACATCACAAGGTTAATTTTGCCATTTTACAAATATGGCAAAATCTTAAAAGATTCTTTTGAACTCTGTATTTGACTCCCCTTATAGTCTCTGACCTCTGAGTCTTTGACCTAATCGGCATTCTAGTGAGGAAACGGAATTACGCGTACACGTTTAATTAAAGAAACTGTTCATGATAAGTTTATGTATACCTAGTAATTAAAAAAAATAATAAAATCGGTTAAAAGCTCTCGGAAGCTATCTTATTCACTTCATTCTTTGAAATGTGATTGTAGCGAAAAAGGAAAGGCTTGTAATTTTGACACAGCTGGAAATCAAAAAGATGTATGTGAGCCTGGTCATAGTCAAAATGATAACTAATGTAAAAGTAAAGTCTATTTTGTCATGCTTGATGTGTTGTATGAAACGTCGGATTAAAATGTCTTCATTACAATACTAACAGACGGACGAAATATACCAAAATAAATGAACGATTCACCTTACATCATTTATTCCGAACAGTTAAATATTTTCTAAAATTACTGTTGATAAGGGAATCGTTTGAAATTATTTTATTAAATATTCTGCTTATTTTATATTTATTTATATGCAGTAATGAAACAAAACTGGTCCATTTGGTGAAACCTTTAAGAAACTAATATGTGCACTTCTTTCTTTAGAATGCGATTGCGGTGGGAAAAGGAACATCTTGCAGCTTTGACACTTCAGGAAATCAGAAATGTGAATGCGAGCCTGGCCATAAACAAAAGGGCAACAAATGTGAAAGTAAAATCTATTTCTCTTACGTCTTACAAATCACCGGATTATCCTTTCATTCCTGAAATATACTGAAAGTTGTGTAAAATCATAAAAAAAAAAATGAATGATTCCTCGTTTTTAATGAACGTGAAATATTATTTAAAATTTCTGATGAGAGAAACAGTTGAGATGTTTTGTTAAAGAAACTGCTCATGTTAAATTTATTTATATACCATAATTTTTAAAAAATTGATAAAGTTGATGGTATCTTTCGGAAACTAATATATGCACTTCTTTCTTTAGAATGCGATTGCGGGGAAAAAGGAACATCTTGCAGCTTTGACACTTCCGGGAATCAGAAATGTGTATGTAAGCCTGGCCATAGTCAAAAAGACAACAAATGTGAAGGTAACATCTATTTCTCTTTATGTTTACTAAATATTGTACAAATCGCCAGATAATAATTTTATTCCTAATGCAACACTAATAGATGGATGAAATATACCGGTAGTGTAAAATCTTAAAAGAAAAAATGAATGATTCACCTTTTATCGCTTGTAATGAAAGTGAAATATTATATTATCTAAAATTTGAGTTGATGAGAGAAACAATTGAGATAATTTTGTTAAAGAAATCTCTCATGTTAAATTTATTTATATATTACGAAGGTTGCTATTTATATTTCTGGCCTTTGCCTTTTTAACCATAACTTCTTCAGAAAATTTTGTCATTTTAGCATGATTTGTGTTGTTTACAGTAAATTAAAAAATTCATCTCGGGCAAAAAATGGAATTGACTCGGGAACATTTTCGTGGGATTATTTTTCATATCTTTCGACGTGAATTATCAAGATAATAGTGCTTCAATGACTTTAATTCTTTATAGAGAGATAAAGCCCCATCCTACAGCACTGTAAAATACTGGTGCAACGAATTCAATCATGGTCGACGTTCGGTCCAGGACGAATTCCGTGAAGGTCGTCCAAAATTGTTTGTTGTGCCAGAAAATATCGATGTTGTGCGCGAACTGATAAAACAAGATCATCATGTGACATACCGTGATATTGAGGCATCTTTGCGCATTAGTATAAAAGCATCAATAAAATATTAGATGAATGTTTGTCCATAATAAAAGATTTGTTTGCGCTGGATCCCGCATAATCTTACAAACGCTCGAAAGAAAGCTCGTGTCGATTGGCGCAAAGAAATGCTGGAAAAATGCGTTCAAGGTAAACCAAAGGCTGCGTATAGGATTAGGATTAGGATTAGGAACGTGGGACGTGGGCACCGTTCCTTTACCGTTATGGTTAATTGGTTTAACGCCACGTCCTCCAATATCCAGAGCAAGGTCAGAAGAGGCCAACACGTGAGACTCGCACCAAAGGCCAGACCCAGCACCCTATTCATCCGGGTAGCAGTCCAGCCGACGAAAGTGCCCCGAGGAATACTCTAAGCCAAAATGCCGGGTCCAGTATTAATTTGTTTCCAGGAATAAAACGTACAGTGCCAAACAAGGGCAGCATCTTTACATAGGTTAATATACAATTACATAGTTGATCACAATAAGATTATAGAATTATGACATTATAAATACCTGGAATTATCCGCCGAACGGTAGGTCTATTACTATAATATACATATGCAAAATTTGGTTAAGAGTAGTAACAATTTGTGAAAATTATAGGCTACTTGTATTTGACAAATTACCTTTTAAGTATAAATTTTACCTTTGCACTTATATATGTCATATTGTTTAGAAAGGCTGCTTATAACATCTACACAGGCGGCGAATTATGGATGTATGCGTATGAGCTTGAAACAAAAACAGCAGTCGACTGTATGGATCTTCCAGGAGAAGCCAAATTCAACAAAAGTTGTTCGCGGAGGAAGCACATCAAAGAAAACAGTTGCCTCTAGTTCTTCAGCATTCCCGATCACGTGGCGACAGTGGCGTTACAGCAAAGCAGGACGACCGATCCCGAATGGTACACGAACATTTTTTTGCCAGAAACCAATGGAGAAAGAAATTTAAGAAAAGCAAAAGAAGAGGCGAAGTTTTCTTCATCATGATAATGCGAAGCCCTCACACACCAGCTCAAACAAAGGAACTTTTGACGGTTCCAAACCATCGAATTGATGTTTCCATCCGCCGTACAGCCCTTGATTTGGCACCCAAAGACATTTTTTTTTATTCCTGCATGTCAGATATAAATTACGTGGTTAGCGATTTGCGACATCCTAAGGAGCGGTATGTTGTGAAAGTTACCACAATCGGAAGTCGAAAAAGTGCTTGGAAAATTGGTTCAAACGCATGCAAAAAGTTTTGATATTAATGCAGAATATTTTGAAAAACAACAAAACCAATTTCTACCATAAACATTTGTTTCTCATTATTAAGTCCGAAATATAAACAGCAACTGTCGTATAGTTTTTAAAATATTCATAAAGCTGGTGATATTTTTCTGAAACTAATAAATGTACTTCTTTCTTTAGAATGTGATTGTGGGGAAAAAAAGGAACATCTTGCAGCTTTGAAGCTTCTGGAACTCAGAAATGTGGATGTCAATCGGGCTATAGTCAAAAAGACAACAAATGTGACAGTAAAATCGATTTTTTTATCTTTAGTATGCTCTACAAATCGCAAGATTATAATTTTATTCCTTATACAGTACTAATAGATAGATGAAATATACCGCAAGTTGTATAAAATCATAAAAGAAAAATAAATAATTCACTTTCTATCGTTTGTAATGAAATTGAAATATTATCTAAAATTTTTGCTGATGAGAGAAACATTTGAAATAATTTTATTAAAGAAACTGGTCATGTTAAATTCAGTTATATACTATAAGTTTCAAAAACTGATTCAATTAGTGATACCTTTCTGAAACTAATATATGCACTTTTTTTTTCTTTAGAATGTGATTGCGGGGAAAAAGCGAAATCTTGCAGCTTTGACGCTTCCGGAAATCAGAAATGTGTATGTCAGCCTGGTCATAGTCAAAAAGACAATAAATGTGAAAGTAAGGTCTATTTATTATATTGATTTATATTCACTGGAAGAGAATTTTGTTTTCTTCACTATTTCAATATGTATAGTACACACAGTGTATAACAGTTGATTATCACAACCTTATGCTCTGATAAAACATAGCAAAATTAAATATTTTCGTAATGCAATGTCAGGCAGAATATGAGATGTGAACGCGGA